GCCAACTGCTATTCACTCAACATGCACACATCAATCTCCGGCCACCAATCACAAGTTCAACTCATCCATTGTTGAAAAGACATCTCTATTGCCTCCATGATTTCTGCTAGTTGTACTTGAGGCTGAACCTCTGTATTTCCTACCCACTCTGAGTGTGATGTGGTATGTAAAAAGTGTAAAGAATGGAGGGGTCTCCACAATAATCAGAAATGAATTAAAGAGCAGAAGTTACAAAAATACCCAAATGAAACCAGATGTAAGGGAAGACTTTGCATATGACTCATGAGCCATCTACAGAAGCATAAATACCAGCACTAACTAGCTTCAACTATCACCTTCACTTATTGAAGTGCATTATAACTATGAATGCCTGAGAGATATAAGTAAATGCAGAAAATAAAAAGTGAAATACAAAAAAGAAACTGCCAGGGACGGGGAGGTGGGATTGGCAGTTGAGGGAAACTGTCAGGGGAGAAAGGGGCACACCTCATCAACAAGGGTACTTGCACAATGAATGTTTGTATACCTAACCCTGAATTGTACCCCACATCTTTTTTTTTTTTTTTTTTTTTTTTTTGAGTTGGAGTCTCACTCCATCGCCCAGACTGGAATGCAGTGTCACGGTCCCGGCCACTGCAGCCTCGACCTGCTGGGCTCTGGCGATCCTTCTGCCTCAGCCTTCCAAATAGCTGGAACTACAGGAATGCACTACCATGCCCGGCTAATTTTTTTGATTTATTGTAGAGATGAGGTCTCGCTAAGTTGCCCAGGAGGGTCTCGAACCCACAGACTCAGGCAATCCACTCACCTCAGCCTCCCAAAGTGCGGGATTACAGGCTGAGCCACCAAGCCTGGCTTCCCCACATCTTTAAAATTAAAAAAATTAAAGACCCAGATCAAAAAAAGAAAACAGTACAACCATATCTACTTTAAAGGTCAATGCCTACACAAAAAATAACCAACTCATAAGCTGCCCATCAGCAAACAAAAGTATCAAAATATGTAAAATATACAAAAAGTATAAAAAGAAAATCTAAAATTTCATTTTCTCTTCTCTATGTATGTGTATATGTATGTGCATATATATACAGAGAGAGAGAGAGAGAGAAAGACAGACAGAAAGACAGACTCTGAGATATTTTCAAAATGTAGACTCAACAAGTGATCAGAAAGTTGATAACAGCAAGAAACATGGTCATATTTTGGGTACCTGAATGATTTTACAAATAGTATGTTTAATTTTAGTATCTCACAGTCCACATTTATATGTATAGATTGCCGTATTTGATAGCATATTTCAAGTATCTTCAAGGACTTCATTGCTATCAGTTTTGCAATATAAGAGAAAATTCTACAGTTGCTGTCTTCCTACTGTATATTGTCTGGAAGGTGTTATAAGTACTTTACAGCTATAATGACAGATGCTCCTACTCTGGGTTTCATTCTGTTGTTCAGTGCTCTAGAAAAAACAATCCCACACTGATAATAACCTGTATGGTCCACAGATAAGGTGAAGAAAATATAAACAGATGGGACATATCTGTTAATCAGAAACATTTCTTCATTAGTGACATCATCAGATGTATTTGTGTTATTTTTATGTGAAAGACTGACAGGGACTATATTTAATCCATATTTTAAGCAATCAAAACCTGGACCATTTTTCATAGGTATGGATCAATATAGCATGTAATACATATGAACATTTTTTTCTATGGTCAGGATGGCTTTTTGATGTTAATCATGTAATGTTGGTCATATCCAATTTCTCTAACAAAGCATAAGTACACACTGCCTATTTACTTACCTTATAGATCTAGAAAGACAGCAAAGTATAGCAGAATTAATTAGTGATGAAATAAAACTGAAGAAACAGGGTTGTACTATCCCCAACTATACCATTTAATTTTGTGACCCAGGACAGTCCTGAACCTCAAATTCGTCTTCTATAAAACAGATATAACACCATGGGACACACCTATGAAACTTTGTGCCAAATTTCTATGGTGGTGCTCAAAGGACTGTGACACAAATAACAATTATTGTAAGTGACTACATTAAAAAACATCAATGTTCCCCAAATAAAAGATGTCTAATACATTTCTAAATCTTGATTTATTTTAGAGGGAGACTCAAACCACAGAAAAACTTGTTTTTTCTCTTCAAGTTTCTGTCTAGATCTCAGAATTATTTAGAGGACACAAGTGTACATGCAGAAAGGCACTTTTGAAACTGTTACAGCATTAGACTATTATACCTCTAGATTAGAGAGACCTGGTCCATGACTCAGGTTTGCTTTTCCCCACAACCTCTAAATACTGGCCTGAGGCAATGTGCCGGGAACCTGGGTAAGAGAGCAGGGATGGTTCTGCAAAACCAGCCTCTGCTGGAAATTCCCAACACTACTGGAAACCACTTTGTACATGTACATACTAATAGAAATGATCATTGCAAGAGAAGGACACTAGTCGTATTTCCTAAACTATTAATAAAATAAACATCATCTTCCCACAAAATGCCTACCCAACCAACCAGGGGAAGTAAATTATTTAACAGTAAAATTATTCTAACAGGACAAAGATTCACAAACCAAATAGCATCTTGAGTGCAGTACAAACTAAGCTTCACTTAAAAATTTAAAGTCACAATAGTTCTGTTCCACCCCTTCTCAAAAATACAGTGGAAAAAAAGCAGGGCAATAAGCAGTCACTGAGAACAACAGGAGTAAGAAAGAACTGGGTAAGAGAAAAAGAAAGATATTAATGAATTGATTGTAAAAACAATTATCAACACCATAATTCAGATCTAACGGGAAAAAAAACAGAGATCAAGTACATGGGAAATTCAACATCAGAGTCAAGATGAGGCTACTGAATACAGGTACCATTACACACTATGTCTGCCTTCTTTCTCTCCTTACTTGAGACAGGTGTAGTGTTTTGCTTCAGACTAGTGATTTCTAACCCTGGGTATACCTTGACAGCTTTTAGTATTAAATCAGAATCTGGGAATAGGCTAGAATTTTCTTTTATTTTAAATACAACCCCCATGTGATTCTATTATAATCAGAGCTGAGAATTCTGCATTTAGATCATACTTAAAAAAAAAAACAGTATCCAGCTTTCTCAAAATGTGACAATTTCTCTTTAAAACAAAGCTCCCCACTGTTATAAGAAGTAGTTAAAGATTCCCAAACCCAAACAAGTGCTCAAGTTTAAGCAGGTGAATATCAATTCCAATGTATTTGTAAAATCAAAAATAGCAAATTGTGTCCTCACTGTGCCTATAAATTCTTGGGACTATCTAGACTCTTTTGAGGCAAGAGCTTAGACTTTATATTGTATTCTCTCAAATAATACTATCATAAATATTAGGAGCAAAAATATTTTTCCATGAATAATTAAGATTTCTAGAGATAAGAATGAAAAGAACAAATAGTTTCATTTTTATAAGATGGCTAATGCATTGTGGAAAATGTCAACAGACGTCTGTCTCATCATTAATTGCCACAGATAGCCAATCTTGTTTACATTTAATACCAAACAACCACTAGCTGTGAAAATAATTCTGAATCCCTAACATCAAGAATTTCAAACAATGGGGAAGTGGGATAAAAAGAAAAAAGAAGTCGAATATTGAGAACAAGTTTTAAATGCTGTAAAAAATATCTTAAAGTAGTGATTACAAAACTTTCAGAGACAAGGAAAAAAGTAAAGATGAATTCGGAACATATGTCCGTTTTCAGCATGCACTCCTCCTTCCTGGTTAGAAAGTCTCCAACAGGGATAGGAGGCTATGAAATAACAGTGACAGTGGGCAGAAGCGGGAGGACATGGGACGGCGTGTGTGTGCGTGTGTGTTGGGGGCGGAGACATGCACTCTGACAGAGGACACAACCCTTTTTAAGAAGGCTCCTCTGTAGAATATATTTCCCGTCTGACAATCTGTTGCTGACTAATCTTGAGATACTACATTTGAATGTCCCATTTTCCCCAGAAATAGAGAAACAAAGAAGATCATTGATTTACATTGTGATCACTAAAAGGAATAAGAGACTTAAAATTATTGAGTGTCTCACAAAAGAAACACATCACAATCATGATTGCACTGAGGAAGGGAGAGGCATAGTAGGAGGTGGAGAGGTGGCACATGCAGAGAAATGGCCAGCTTGCCTAAGGAAGAAGAAGGGCTAAAGCACGGAGGTCAGTTCAGCTCAGTAGCAAACTAAATATAAATAATATATATATTTTTAACCCCCCCAGACAAAAACAAGGAAAACTGGGGAAAACACTCAACACCAGTCAAGATGAAGAGTGAGTAGTCTGCAGATTAATGCTTAAAAAGAAGAAATAAGAATGAAATTGAAGAATACTAAGGGGGAAAAGTCCCAAAACCTAGAGCCTAAAGAAGTGGGTGGCATTCTGGGTAGAGGGACCAGGTAATTAAATCCCACTCATGAAGCCAGATGCCCTCATCACTGCCAAGAGGGATCCATCATGAAAACACTGCTATGCAAAATACATATGGCAGAATTTAAAAGACAGTAAAAGAAGTCATACAATTTATGCTTACAATACAAAGGTATACTTTAAATACTCAAAAGTAAAAGATGTGTTATTAATTTCTAAGTTTAAGCTTATTACTTAGAAATTTAAATCACAAAATGACCCATAAACTGTGTGTGTACGCGTGCGTGCGTGTGTGTGCGTGTGTGATCTTGTAAATTTTTCTCAAGAGAAGGACAAGTACTATATTTTGTACTTTAGCATACTGACCTAAACAAGGTGGCTAAACAGAAACAAAGGAAAAAATAGAAATTAACAACTAGTGTGTGAAGAAAAATAATTTGCTTATGTAGAATGCTTAGTTATCCAGTCATTTATTAGTAAATAAGTCCCACAATAGGAACCTGACATTGAAACTACTTCTCTAAGCTCCTTCAGAGTGAATGTATTCTTCCTGATGGACTTTCACCAACTGGTGAAAATGTGTTACTGTACCTGTAACCAGAGCCTGTCTCCTGCCACAGTCCTGCCGATGGCACTACACTGGAAGGTGGCAAACTGGCCGGCATTAACTTCCACATTCTGAATCCGCAGGAAATGGGGAGTTCTAGCTACATGAAGAAAAAGAATGAGAGATGTTAAAAGTGGAGATCTATAACATATGCATCTTTTCCAATGTATCTTCAATTCTGGGCCTTTCCATTTTGTTCACCTTGGGAGAAAATAATGCTTTTTGCTTATATGAGCTTTAAAGATTTCACTATAATTTTAAAATATATAACAGAAGGTTTTGGTGTGCTTTGTAAAAGAACAAAAAAGCCAAGCATTCTGGGATAGAACCAAACAGAAAGAGGATATTTTATTGTTCCTGCTGTGCAAATTATCATAGCTCAGCAGTCTTCTTGTAATAGCAGATTTGTATTAATAAAGATTATACTGAAGCCTAATTGATGTTTTGAACAAAAACATATTAGATATTTATACTAGTAACATGAAAAGAACAGTAAGAAGTTAAATGATGTTGTCAAGGGAACTTTTTAACCGAAGTACAGAGCTGTGCATAATATATATTTTGATACAACTAATTGGTATGCAACATTACTTATGTAATATTTTTCATCAACCAAAATACTATCCCTATAGACATACCATAAAATGATGCTGGGGCTGCCACAGCATGGGAATGTTTGATGATTCTTATTTTTAATTGAAGAACAAAGGATTCCAAATGTCAAACAGCACTGTCTAATAATGTACATTATCTGTATGGGACACCTATTTTTTTAAAAGGATTATTACTTTTGATATGAGAAGCACAGACCAATTTCTGTATCACAGTGAAAACAGCTGTCCAGGAACTGGAATGACAGGTCAGGACTTAAATTTTATGACAACTCCTACATTCTTTTATCACAACAATGACAGAGTGAAAGAGAAGCAAAGGAGTATGAGGATGAGCAATAGAAAAGGAAGAGACGGGCCAAGCGTGGTGGCTCAAGCCTGTAATCCCAGCACTCTGGGAGGCTGAGGCCAGAGGACTGCCAGACCAGCCTGGGCAACTTGGTGAGACTCATCTCTACAATACATCAAAAAATTAGCCAGGTGTGGTAGCACATGCCTGTAGTTCTGGCTACTCAGAAGGCTGAGGCGGAAGGATCACCTGAGCCCAGCAGGGCAACTCTGGGGTGGCCCTGAGTGTGTCATTGCATTCCAGCCTGGGTAACAGAGTGAGACTCCAACTCAAAAAAAAAAGAAAAGAAAAGGAAGAGGATAGGATGATAGCCCTTCTGGGAGGGTCGGATAAATCTGGATAATAACTAGAACAAATTTGTTGTGTCTTACCCGCTTTTCCCTATTACCAATGTGTCCTAAGTCAGGTCTAGACACTTTCAAAACATGGTGCCCCACCACTGGATACCCAAAGATGACAAACTGGTACTTATATCAGCTTGAGAACACAATTAGGAATGAAAGTGTGTCACTACCAAAGAACAAAGAAAACGTATTCTGCTATCAATAACACACAGAATGCCACTACTAATTGGAGGCCTCTAATATTTCAGAAAATGCATTCATGATGCTAAGTGTACAAAATGTTCTAAATGATTTCCAACAAAGCAGTATGACTCTAAAGCACTGTTTCTTAATACTAATATATTAACATACAACTCTATGAACTCTGTTTTTCACTGACAATCAAATTACTCCTTGCTCAAAAATAACATAATTATATGGTTTTTAAAGATCTCTGTAAAAGTCCCTAAATCAAATTTCTCTTCTAGTCTTTGTTCCTGAAAAGAATCAAACAATATATAAAGATCTCCAATTCATCTGGCAATCCTCTTCTCAACAGAAACTACACAGGCCAGGAGGGTGAAGGACAACATTTTAAAGTGCAGAGAGAAAAGTAAAATGACATTCAAGATACTGTATCCAGAAAAGCTTTCATTCAAATATTAAGGACAGAAAAAGTCTTTCCCAGGAAAACAAAAGCCATAAGAATTCACCACCATTAGACTCATAAGAATGCTAAAGGGAGTTCTTCAACCTGAAAGAAAAAAACACTAATGTGCAACATGAAAACATTTGTAGGTATAACACCTACTAATAAAATTAAGAGCATGGACAAATCCAGAATACTCTAACACTGAAATTGTGCTGTGAACTCCACTTCTAACTCTAGTATGAAGTCCACAAGACAAATCTATCAAAAACGACTGCTTTAGCAACCTGTTAAGAGATAGGCAATATAAAAATGTTTACATTGAGCCAACATAAATTCCAACTATGGGGGGAAATGAGTTAAAGTGTAGAGGGTTTTTTTTTTCTAACCCTTTCTTGTTTGTTTGTTTGTGATCTAAGATATTTCCTTAAAATAACTTGTTATATCCATAAGATGTTTTCTTAAGCTTCATAGTAACCATATGCGAAAACCTATAATAGGCTAACTAAAATTAAAAAACAATAAATTAAAACATACTACTAAAGAAAATCACTTAATAACAAAGAAAGAGTAAGAAAGGTAAGGTGGAGCTATAAAACCAGAAAACAAGCAGCAAAACTGCAGTACTAAGGTCTTACTTATCAATAAACAATGGATGTAAATGAAACCAGTTCTCCAATTAAAAGGCAAAGTGGTTGAATGAATAAACAACCAAGACCCAACTATATGCAGTCTACAATAAACCCACTTCACATATAAAGACACACACAAAGACAAAGTGAAGGGACAGAAAAAGATATTCCCTGCAACTGAAAATCAAAAAAGAGCAGGAATAACTATACTCATATCAGAAAAAATAGACTACAAATCAAAGACTGTAAAAAAAGACAAACAAGGTTACTATATAATAAAAAAGTGGTCAATAAGCAAGAGGATGTAACAACTATAAATATCTATGTGACCAACATTGGGGCTCCCAAGTTTATAAAGCAACATTAACAGATCTAAAGGGAGAAATAGGCTAAAATACAATAACAGTAGGGGATTTCATTACCCTACTTTTAGTAATGGACAGATCTCCCTGACAGAAAATCAACAATGAAACATCACAGATAAGCTACACGGTAGACCAAATAGGCATAACTGGCATTTACAGAACATTTCATCCAACTGCTGCAGAATACACATTAATTTCCTTAGCACATGGAACATCCTCCAGAATATAACACATCTTAGGCTACAAAACAAGTCTCAACAAGTTCAAAAAATCAGTAATCATATTAAGTATCTTTTTGGAGCACAGTAGAACTAGAAATCAATAAAAAGAGGAATCTCAAAAAACATACAAACATGGAAACTGAAAAACATGCTCCTGAATGAACACAGGGCAACAAAGAAATTAAGAAAATTTTAAAATTTATTGAGACAAATGAAAATAGAAATAAAACACACCAAAATATATTGGATACAGCAAAAGCAGTATGAAGGTAGAAGTTTCCAGCAATAAATGCCTACATTAAAAAGTATAAAGACTTCAAATAAACAACGTAACAATAAATATCAAAGAACTATACAAGCAACAGCAAACCAAGCCCAAAATTAATAGAAGGAAGAAATACTAAAAATTAGAGCAGTAATAAATGAACTTAAGAGTAAGAAATATAGATCAATAAAACATATAAATCAAATAATAAATGAAAAAGAAGACTTAATAACTGCGACCACAGAAATACAGTCACTAGAGACTATTATGACCAGCTTTATGCCAACAAATTGAAAGCCTTACAAGAAATGAATTAATACCTTGACACACACAACCTACCAAGATTGAATCACAAAGAAATACAAAATTTCAACAAACCAACAATGAGTAATGAGATCAAAGCCACAATAAAAAGTCTCTCATTGCCAGGCTCGGTGGCTCAGCCTGTAATCCCAGCACTTTGGGAGGCTGAGGTGAGTGGATCGCCTGAGCCCACGGGTTCGAGACCCGCCTGGGCAACTTGGTGAGACCTCATCTCTACAATAAAATTTAAAAAAATTAGCCGGGCATGGTAGCATATGCTTGTAGTTCCAGCTACTTGGAAGGCTGAGGCGAAAGGATCGCCGGAGCCCAGCAGGTCGAGGCTGCAGTGGCCAGGAGTGTGCCATTGCACTCCAGTCTGGATGACAGAGTGAGACTCCAACTCAAAAAAAAAAAAGTCTCCCATCAAAAAAGAGCCCAAGATCTGATGGCATTGCTGAATTCTCTCAAACATTTAAAGAAGAAATAATACTAATTATACTCAAACTCTTCAAAAAAATTGAAGAGGAGGGAACACTTCCAAACTAGTCTAAGAAGCCAGAACTATCCTGATACGAAAATCAGAAAAGGACATAAAAAAATAAAATCAAAGGTCAGTATATCTGATGAACACAGATGTAAAAATACTCAACAAAACACTAGTAAACTGAATTCAACAACACTTTAAAAAGATACTTCATCATGATCAAATGGGATTCATCCCAGGGATGCAAGGAGGTTCAGCATATGCAAATCAAGAAATATGATATATCACATTAATAAAATCAATAAGAAAAACCACATAGTAATTGCAATAGAGGCCTAAAGAGCATTTGATAAAATTCAGTATTCCTTTATGTTAGAATTCTCATCAAAATGTGTACAAAAGGAAAATACCTCAAAATAATACAGGCCAGATATGACAAACCCACAGCTAACATCATACTAAATGAGGAAAAATGGAAAGCATTTCCTCTAAGATCAGGAACAAGACAGTGATGCTCACCTTCAACTGTTTTATTAAACATAATACTAGATGTCCTGACCACAGTAATTAGGCAAGATTAATAAATAAAAGGCATCTAAATTGGAAAAGAAAAATAAAATTAGCCTTGTTCACAGACAATATGATCAGATATTTAGACACTTCTCCCAAAAACTGTTAGAACTGATAAACAAACTTAGTAAGTTACAGAATACAAAAATAAGCATATAAAAATCAGTAGCATTTATATATGTCGACAAAATGAAAAATAAACCAATAAATTAATCCCATTTATAATAGCTACAAAGAACATAAAACAACTAGAAATCAATTTAACCAAAGAAATAAAAAATCTTTACATGGAAAACCACAAAACACTAATAAAATAAATTGAAGAGAA